CGGCCAATGAGAATGACACCAGGAAGTGTGCAGATTTCATGGATTAGGAAATAAAAGACACAGCTAGAGTGCGATTTTTAAATGAAATGTAGTTATTATTCGGGATTTATATGGCGCCAACAGCCTGCACAGTGCTGTACAAAATAAAGTATTACAATACAAGACACAAAGGTTAGGAGGACCCCGGTCACAGGAGCTTACAATCTAAGGTCTCATTCAGGAAAGAAAGGGGGAGGTGACAACAGGAAGTTGGTTTCCGGTTTTCGCCGTGTGCCTTATGCAGCGTGTCACGTTCGGTGAGTGACCGTTGCCATCGTCGGGTATGTGGTTGCAGAGCGGCATTGCAATTGAACTTACCTGGGGGGGGGGGAATAAAAAAAAGGGGCATTTAGGAGGCGGCAGTATCACCTCCTGGGGGACACGGCTCTACTGCCCTCTGAAAAGCCATCCACCGCAGAACCCTTTCTAGAGGGGAGGTGGAGCCTGCAGCCCATCTCAGCAAGGCCTACATGGAAGTGGCATCACTGTGTGGGGAGATGATGAAGCAGTGGCGTCACCAGGTGAGTGCGGGGGGTGCGGCCCGCCCCCCGGGTGACACCTTCATAGGGGTGTCACCCCCCTCTAAAAAGTCGGGCAGTCGGACATGGAACGAGAGCCCAGCAGTGTCAGGAGAGAGGAGGGAAGCCGGCGGCATACCTCATCCCGCCGAGTGAACGTCCCCTCCTCTCTCTGCCGGCGTCCATCACCAAGATGGCCGCCTGCAGGCGTGAAACAGATGGCCGCACATGCGCAACGAAGTCATTGCGCGTGCGCGAGGTGACGTCACGCGCACGTGGAATGACGGCACGGCGGGGTGTGACCGGGGGACACCGGGCCTCCCCTGGATAAAGAAGGTAAAAGTTCGGTAGGATTGAGGTGGGATAGAGCGGAGTTTTCCAGGATCACCTTGTTGGTGACGTGTTTAGTAGACTTGTGCGCCGTCAAAAAATTTGTTCCGTTTCGTTTCGGAATATCCGTTATTTCGTATTTCGTAATTTGTATCTGAAACTCAATTCGGATTCGTACGAAATATGTATTTTCGTTAGCGGCGGTTATATTTTCGTAACTTTACGAACATTCGTTATGATGAAGCTAAAAAGCAAAGATACCTTTGTTACTATCGGAGTCGATGTGGTCGTTGTTTTTTTATCCGAAATACGAATTCCGTTAACGGATTCCGGATCTGAATTTCGTATTTCGGACTTAAAAAAAAACTACCATCAGCTCCAATATAAATGTATTTTGCTTTTTACCTTCAATATAACGAATGTTCGTAACGGAACGAAAATACGTCAACGAAATTTCGTATTTCCCGCCTGCGTATTGTAATGCAACTCTCAGCAGCAGCGGATCCGTATTTCGGATTAAAAAACAAATCTTGTCACGTTGTTCCTCATTTACGGGGGTAATATTAGTTCCCGTTTCAAAGAAATTCGGATCCGAAATTCGTTAACGGAATTTCGTATTTCGGATATAATTCGGAAACTGCCGTTCGGATTTCGGATGCTCCGAAATTCGGAAAATTCGTACGAATTTCCATTCGTAACGAAACGAATGGCACATGTCTAGTGTTTAGATGAAGCGCGGAGATCATGAGGAACGCTGGATTCAGTTTGACTTGCTCAGGAGGACGTTACATCAGAATGCAGCATTGTACATCATACATGTTCTCCGTGTGCCGGCGCGGGTTTCGTCCGGGTCCTCCGCTTTCCTCCCACACTACAAAGACAGGCTGGAAGGTGAATTGGCTCCGGTATATATATACACGTGAGATATGGACCTTAGATTGTAAGCTCCTCGAGGGCGGGGACTGATGTGAATGTGCGGTATGTAAAGCGCTGCGTAAATTGTCGGTGCTACACAAATACCAATATTATATAAATAAACCCCGCCCTTAACCCTAACATGACCCTAATCCCGAACCCTAACCCCCACCCTTAACCCTAACCTTTGCTAACCCCAACCAGCGGAGGCAGAGCCTCACCTAGAATTATGGAGGAAAAAGCTGTCAGCTTCAAGTCTGAACCTGACAGCTTTTTCTCCATTCAAAGCGACTTGAAAGAGGGTTAGGGTTAGGGAGCGCTGCCTGTTAATTACAGACGGCGCTGCATCCAGCTTTTCACAGCTAGTTAGTGAGGGAAAGGGAGGCTCCTCCCTTCCTCCTTCGCACTAGCTTAGTGACGGGCTTCATCCGGTGGGGGCAGGGCTTCAGCCAGCGGGGCCAGGGAATGCCTCACCCGGAACCGCACGTCACTGCCATATACGGCATATGCTGTTGGATTTCCAACAAAACTGAAGGTGGGTTTCGTTGGAGATAGAACAGGATGGGGTAAGGAGTTCCAGAAGATGGGAGAAGTCCTTCAGGTGAGCATGGGAAGAGGTGAGGAGGGGGCCAGAGGACAGTCGATCTTTGGTGGAGCGGAGGGGACGGTTTGAGGGATATTTCGGGAGAGGTTTAACCATGAAGTTCTCAGAAGTTGTATCAGCTTTTGGAATTTGTGTACGATACGATACAAGACCATATCACACGATACGATACAAGACCATATCACACGATACGATACAAGACCATATCACACGATACGATACAAGACCATATCACATCCAATACCCAGGTTTCCAATAATACAGAGTACATTAGAGCAGAACAATCCTTCAGGTCCTGGTGAGGGCACCAAAATGACCCAAAAAGCTCTTAGCGAGGCCAACCTGAAGTCCTCTACGTAGGCGCCTGACATGTCTGTAGAGAGATATCACGAGGAGTCTTTTACAGAACGAATAATGACCTTCTATGACCTTCCATGACCTTCCATTACCAAATAAAAAGAACATTTTCATTGAAAGAAACCTCTCCGGACTTTCATTAACATTTAAAAAAAAAATGAAATGTGTTGTCTACAAGTTAGACATATTGAAGATTAGGGATAAACTTTGGGCTTGGATTGACACTGAGTTTGACCCAAACCTAAGCTGTTCTCAGTTCACCATATAGGCAATTTGGCCCTTTCATCTGCCCACTGAACCCCCGGCTGTGTCCTGGCAACCATTGGGTGACTGGTGGCTGAGACGTACAACATAATTGGTTGTTAGGATGCTGGCAGCCGCACAGCATCTTTGGTTGTTATGGGGCGTCCACCTATGACATAGCTACCAGTGTTGCTCCGCAGCCCAGCCACTAACATCCTAGGCCACCAAAGACATCCCACAGCGCCATTGGTTGCTAGGACACAGGAGGCCCCGGGTTTGGTTGACTTGGATGTTTGCTGAATCCAGATTTCTGGCTGGGAGCGGCGGACACCCAAACTAAAGCCAGGCCAGTTCGCTATTAAAGACACATGACAAGGAAGCAATAGAAATAGGTCCATACATACATATATAGGCAGCTGAGGTTATACGCAAATCTTACATTTTCCAGCAAAATCGGAGCTAGACCTGGCTGTATGTCTCGGGTCTACCAACTGGCCAATGGATCTGTCTATCACACTGACGGATCTCGTAGGTTGGACTAAGGGAGGGAGTGTGTGTGACCTTAACCATAACTTCAGCTGCCTAGTTCTCTAGATCTACACACCATTTTGACATGAGGATTTTGAGGAAAGGGATTCCCACAGATTACATTTTTTTAATCATATATTTGATATTAATAACTCAGGATTTGGTGCAGGTTTGTTTTTAATATAAAATCATCATATATCCTGTCTCAGCTTTTTTTTTTTTTTTTAAAGCTAGCCATAGACATAACAGAGTGACACTCCCATAGAGTGGACACCCCATAGAGAGGACACCCCATAGAGTGAACACCCCATAGAGTGACACCCCCATAGAGTGGACACTCCATGGAGAGGACACCCCATAGAGTGGACACTCCATAGAGAGGACACCCCATAGAGTGAACACCCTTTAGAGTGGACACCGACTTAGAGTGGACACTCCATAGAGAGGACACCCCATAGAGTGAACACCCCCATAGAGAGGACACCCCATAGAGTGGACACCCCATAGAGAGGACACCCCAAAGAGTGAAAACCCTTTAGAGTGGACACCGACTTAGAGTGGACACACCATAGAGAGGACACCCCATAGAGTGACACCCTATAGAGTGGACACCGACTTAGAGTGGACACACCATAGAGAGGACACCCCATAGAGTGACACCCTATAGAGTGAACACCCCATAGAGAGGACACCCCATAGAGTGAACACCCTATAGAGTGGACACCCCCATAGAGGTGGACACCCCATAGAGTGAACACCCTTTAGAATAGACACCCTCATAGAGAGGACATCCCATAGAGAGGACATCCCATAGAGAGGACACCCCACAGAGAGGACACCCCACAGAGAGGACACCCCATAGAGAGGACATCCCATAGAGAGGACACCCCATGGTGTGGATACCCCATAGAGAGGACACCCCATAGAGTGGGCACCCTGGAGAGTGGACAGACACCCTATAGAGTAGACACCCTCATAGAGTGGATACCCCATAGAGTGACACCCTATAGAGTGAACACCCCATAGAGAGGACACCCCATAGAGTGAACACCCTATAGAGTGGACACCCCCATAGAGGTGGACACCCCATAGAGAGGACACCCCACAGAGAGGACACCCCATGGAGTGGATACCCCCTAGAGAGGACACCCCATAGAGTGGGCACCCTGGAGAGTGGACAGACACCCTATAGAGTAGACACCCTCATAGAGTGGATACCCCATAGAGTGGACATCCTATAGAGAAGCTTAATGAAAGATTCTGATACCTTGTATACAGTAAAATGGGATATTATTTACAGATATTTCTTTAACGGTTACAGATCCACTTTAAGTGACCGAAGACATGACATGCCGATTTAAGTCAGAAACAAGAAAAATGTAAAATACGGGTTTAATACATTTGCTGATAACAGATTTACAGTAGAAGCACAAATCGGATCTTGGAACATACAAAGCGCTCTCCCTTTAACAATCTCTCGGCCTTCCGTGGAACATCTGAAGTAAGACTTCACGGATCTGTTTGCTCTTGATGCTGTAGATGATGGGGTTAAGCACGGATGGAAGAAACAGGTAGGCATTGGCCATGATGTTCATGAATAAGGGTGAGACCTGTTTTCCGAACCTATGTACTATGGACAGAGCCACGATGGGAACATAGAACAGAAACACGGCACAGAGGTGGGACACGCAGGTGTTGAATAACTTATAACGGTCCATTTTGGTGACATGGAAGACAGCTCGGAGTATCAGAATGTAAGACAAGACAATGAGTATGAGATCCAGCGTAACCGTGCACAGGATAATCGCAAGGCCATACATGATGTTGAAGGTGTTGGTTCCATGACAGGCCAACTCCATAACATCCTGGTGTAGACAGTATGAATGGGACAGGGCATTACCATTGCAGTAGGGCAGAAATTGCAGGCTGGATACGGGTGGTATATGGATAAGAGTGCCCCGCAGGGCAGAGACAAGACCAGCCTTGGCCACAGCAGAGCTGGTAAGAGTGGATGTGTATCTTAAAGGATGACAGATGGCTACATATCGATCAAAGGCCATGGCCACCAGAAGAGAAGACTCAGTGATGGAAAGCGAATGGATGAAGAACATTTGTAGGAGGCAGAGTTGAGATCTGATGACCTTATAGTCAAACAAAAAAATGCCGAGCACCGAGGGGCTGGTGACCAGGGTGAAGAGGAGGTCAGTGATGGCCAACATGGTGAGAAAGAAGAACATGGGTTGGTGGAGCTTGTAATCCTTGATTATCACAAGAAGGATCAGACTATTCCCAACAATGGACATGAAGAACATGAAACAGAATGGAAATGAGATCCACCTATAGAGTGACTCCAACCCCGGCATGCCCGTCAGGAGGAACGTGGCAGGGAGGTGGCTCTTGTTTAGAAACATCCTGATTGTCTGTCAAGAAAGTATTGTAACCATACAAATTATACAACGTGATAGTTATGGAGATAATAAACCTTAACCCCGTCACTAACCCTACCCCTGCCCTTACAAATAATGTGCAGCTACTACTGGAACACATGCGTGTAGGCAGGGAGTGGCTGAAAGAGGCTGCAGGAAATCAGCAGGACTGAGATGTACAATAGACACTGAGATGCAAGCTAGATTTTGGGGTTTATCTCAACTTTAAAGGAGAACTATGAGGGGGGGAGAGGGGGAGTGCTTTTCACTCACCTCATAGTTCTAGCCGACCTGTGACAATGAGACTGTCACAGATCGGCTCAGTAGATCGGGAGGTGAGCGAACACATACCGGCGTTCGCTCACCTCTCGATCCTGTCACGGCTCTCTGCCATGACAGGGGGAGGGGCTGGATTCCCTCCTCCCCACTCCGATCTGCCAGCGCTGACTGGCGGAACGGACGGGGGAGGGGGCGGGTACAGCTGGCTCGGCTTCTAGATAGGCGGAGCCAGCTGTCAACTCACGCAGCTGGGCGGATCTCGACATCGATGTCGGGATCCGCTCCGGCTGCGGCGTCTCGGTATACCGCGAGCTGTAGCTCCCTATATACTGAGCCTAGGGTGACGGGAGGACGCTAGTTTGTGTCCCTCCCCCGACCCTGAGGAGAACTATGGGGAAAAGCCCTGACCCCATAGTTCTCCTTTAACTCAGTCCTTGCAATCATTGGAAAAAGGAACAATACTCAAATACAGAAATGAACTTTCACTCGGTCTTCAGGGTTTCCAGGGAAATGTTTACGGGGAAGCAACATAATGCCGACGATCAGTGAAAGAACTACTGCTCTAGCGGCCCACGCAGCCACTATGGGGCCCGATCAGCAGAAGGAAGGAAGGCTGAGTCTAGTCTCAGCCTCAGCCTTTAGTGCAGGGGTCTCAAAATTCCGGCCCGCCGGCCAATACCGGCAAGTGAACCGCAATCAACCACTGGATCACCAGGGAATGTGCAGGTGATGGGGCTCTTTTATTTTATCTGTGGGGACGAGAGGGGGTGTATTATTCTGCATGTGTGTGTGTGTGTGCTTGAGGTAAAACAAGGGGGGGGGCACCAGGTATCAATAAATTACTGCGCATGCGCAATGACGTCACGGCCTCGGGACGCCCCCGTATTTAATGAAGAAAAACAACAATATTAGACATTTATGTTGACGTGACAGACTTATGGAAGCAGATGACATGGCTGGTGATAGGGCAGCATGTTGGGAGAGGAATTCAAACTGGATCTTCCCTAGGAGAGGACTCTGAACCCTCTGTCTGAGTGCAGGAGTATGGCGATGTCCTCACTGCTCAGTAGAGACAACTGACCCTCTGAGTGCAGGAGTATGGCGATGTCCTCCCTGCTCAGTAGAGACAACTGACCCTCTGAGTGCAGGAGTATGGCGATGTCCTTACTGCTCAGTAGAGACAACTGACCCTCTGAGTGCAGGAGTATGGTGATGTCCTCACTGCTCAGTAGAGACAACTGACCCTCTGAGTGGAGGAGTATGGCGATGTCCTCACTGCTCAGTAGAGACAACTGATCCTCAGAGTGCAGGAGTATGGCGATGTCCTCACTGCTCAGTAGAGACAACTGACCCTCTGAGTGGAGGAGTATGGCGATGTCCTCGCTGCTCGGTAGAGACAACTGATCCTCTGAGTGCAGGAGTATGGCGATGTCCTCACTGCTCAGTAGAGACAACTGACCCTCTGAGTGCAGGAGTATGACGATGTGTCACTGCTCAGTAGAGACAACTGACCCTCTGAGTGCAGGAGTATGGCGATGTCCTCACTGCTCAGTAGAGACAACTGACCCTCTGAGTGCAGGAGTATGGCGATGTGTCACTGCTCAGTAGAGACAACTGATCCTCTGAGTGCAGGAGTATGGCGGTGTCCTCTCTTCTCAGTAGAGACAACTGACCCTCTGAGTGGAGGAGTATGGCGATGTCCTCACTGCTCAGTAGAGACAACTGACCCTCTGAGTGCAGGAGTATGGCGATGTGTCACTGCTCAGTAGAGATGACTGACCCGCAGTGTCACAACTGAGCAGCAAGGAGACCGAGTTCAGAGATCTCTCCCAACACTCAACCGTGCCACCGGCCATGGTGGACTATCAGAGGCTAGCTGCTCCTTTATAAGGACATGCTTTTCTCATTACATGTCACTTCTACATAAATGTGAGTCCATTATTATTAATTCTTTCTTCATCAAATATCAGTTTTAATGGACGGAGGTCATGGCGCCATTTTTTCTTCTACTCTTCTCTCAGCCGATATTCAAATGAATATTCCCCAAAACCTCAGTAGTTATTGATGATCACCTAATCTTCACTTCTCATGTTTTGTTGGGTATGAACATATGTAAAAATATGATGTTTCCACGGTTACAAGTTTTCTATGAAGATAATATCTATAGTAAATCTTGTAAAGAATGTTCTTGGCCAGTAATGACAGGCATAGGGCCTATCGGGACTATCTGGATGGGGGGGTCATCAGATTGGTGCCACCAAGACTGAACGCAGGAATATAGTTCGAGGAGGAAATCCAGGACCATAATTAGGAGATGGAGAAGCAGGCCAGAGGTCTGAGCTAGAAACTCTCACCAAGACATGACTGATGGATTCGTCAATTTTGGTCGCTCTGTTAAAACCCCAATAAACACTCGGACTGCGCGGCGTGTAATGGCCACAGCCGCCCGCCCCTTTTATTAAACCCAACGACTTTAACAATAATCAAAAGTAATAAACCAAATAATATACACAAATAATACTGTAACCGATGGATGACCTGAGAAGGGGTCTTTGGGTGCCCAACAGCCCAAAAAAGGCCTCTCCTAACACTCCACCCGTGTCCCCAGCCGCACCACAACCAGCTCGAGGACACTTACTACTTCCAGGTTCCCAAGGGGCCAGGCCACGCTCCCTACAAATCCGGACACCAACAGGGGGAAGCACCCATACCAGCTGAGGGCCCCCCATTTTTGTCATCAACTCCGATTTTGTAGACCCCCCCAAAGACCCCCTAACCCGCCAAGCTGCCGTGACAGAAAAGAACCCTGCAACCCCCATACTACAAAATTCAGGGTGGGAAAACCTGCTTCCTTCGTCGATTTTCCAGAAAGGACGTCCCTCAGCCCTCGCAGATCCTTCCCATGCGGCTCCTCCCGGACACCTGACTCCTAACGTCCAATCAGGTAAGAGCAGCTATTCCCATTTTATTTTGTAGCCTTTCTCCCGGGACATTTCCTCCCCCCCAGTCATGTAGCCCCTCCGCTCAGTCTCCCCGGGTCTGTCCATTGTATTCCATCCAGGAGCTACGCAGAAGGTGGGGAGAATCTCTTCTACGTGAGATAGTCAGCAATGGAAAGCTGACAGAGGTTCTCTCCCTTCTACTATCTGCTACATCTCCGTGTCCCTGTGTCCCCATTCCAGAGACCACACAGGAGTGGAGCAATAAAAGCAGGCCAGACGTTCTAATCCCAACACTCAACAAAGAAAGACGTTTCTAAATACAAGGAGGGATGTCAGAGCTCATAGATTTATCCTGACAGGTCCCCTTTTTTCTTTATTTTAGCCTGGTGATCCTGCCATGAACACACTTCCTGTCCTAGGGTAACAACGCTCACTCACTGTACTGTATCTATAGAGGAGCAGTGTTGTCATGCTGGGCCAAGACTACAGAAGCCCCCCTTATCAGCATAACATGGTGGAAAACTATGAGTCACCATTGTAATATAGTCAATGAATGGTATTAACATCACAATATCATCATAGTCTTCTATTACACATAACATACATACGTACACACAGTATATAGATAGATATTTAATATATGTTAATATATGTAGTGTCACCTACAAATCTAACTCCTCCCCCTCCTCTTCCTCTTTCTGTAGGGGCCCCCCAAGGCTCTGCCCCTTCTCTTCTCTATCTACACCTCCTCCCTTGGTCAGCTGATCACCTCACATGGCTTCCGATACCATCTCTATGCCGATGACACTGAAATCTATCTCTCCACTCCACAACTCCGCCCCCTCACATCCAATCAATATCCAAATCCTGCCGCCTTCACCTTCCTAACATCTCCAAAATACGCCCCTTCCTCACCAATGACACCGCAAAACTACTCAACCACTCCCTTGTTATTTCTCGTCTTGACTATTGTAACTCCCTCATTGGCCAACCTCTACACTGGCTCCTCCCCCCTTCAATCTATCATGAATGCAGCTGCCAGACTCATCCACCTAACCAAACGCTCAGTGTCTGCAACCTCCCTCTGCCAATCCCTCTACTGGCTTCCAATAGCCCAAAGGATAACATTTAAAATATTAACAGTCATTTACAAAGCCATCCACAACTCCGCCCCCTCTATATCTCAAACTTCGTCTCAAAGTATCACCCTAACCGTCCCCTCCGCTCATCCCAAGACCTCCTGCTAACCACTGAACCATCACTTTCTCAAAGAATTCATCCCCACACAGCTTCCTCCTCATGTATCACTGGCCCCTCCCTTTTTAGATTGTAAGCCCTCAGGGGCAGGGCCCTCCTTACCATCTTGTCTTGAATTGTATTGTGATTGTAATGTCTTCCTTATATTGTACAGCGCTGCGCAAACTGTTGGCGCTCTATAAATCCTGTATAATAATAATAATAATAAATACACAGATTCACTAACCAATAGATCGGTGACATTGCTCTCTCTACAGGGAACTCAGCTTCAATAACTAAGCTATCCAATCAGGACCATGATAATAGGAGGTTACAATCTGGTAGAGAAGCTTTTCTTAACCTGAGTTCCGTAGAGCACTTGGGTTCCTCCTGAGGAGTTTCCTGAGCAGTGAGAAGTGGTGTGCTGATCTTACACTTACACTGACCACCATTGTAAAGGGGCTCCTCCACAGACCAGCAATGTATAGGAGCATTCCTCCACAGACCAGCAATGTATAGGAGCATTCCTCCACAGACCAGCAATGTATAGGGACATTCCTCCACAGACCAGCAATGTATAGGAGCATTCCTCCACAGACCAGCAATGTATGGGAGCATTCCTCCACAGACCACCAATGTATAGGGACATTCCTCCATGGACCAGCAATGTATAGGAGCATTCCTCCACAGACCAGCAATGTATAGGAGCATTCCTCCACAGACCAGCAATGTATAGGAGCATTCCTCCACAGACCAGCAATGTATAGGAGCATTCCTCCACAGACCAGCAATGTATAGGAGCATTCCTCCACAGACCAGCAATGTATAGGAGCATTCCTCCACAGACCAGCAATGTATAGGAGCATTCCTCCACAGACCAGCAATGTATAGGAGCATTCCTCCACAGACCAGCAATGTATAGGAGCATTCCTCCACAGACCAGCAATGTATAGGAGCATTCCTCCACAGACCAGCAATGTATAGGAGCATTCCTCCACAGACCAGCAATGTATAGGAGCATTCCTCCACAGACCAGCAATGTATAGGAGCATTCCTCCACAGACCAGCAATGTATAGGAGCATTCCTCCACAGACCAGCAATGTATAGGAGCATTCCTCCACAGACCAGCAATGTATAGGAGCATTCCTCCACAGACCAGCAATGTATAGGAGCATTCCTCCACAGACCAGCAATGTATAGGAGCATTCCTCCACAGACCAGCAATGTATAGGAGCATTCCTCCACAGACCAGCAATGTATAGGAGCATTCCTCCACAGACCAGCAATGTATAGGAGCATTCCTCCACAGACCAGCAATGTATAGGAGCATTCCTCCACAGACCAGCAATGTATAGGAGCATTCCTCCACAGACCAGCAATGTATAGGAGCATTCCTCCACAGACCAGCAATGTATAGGAGCATTCCTCCACAGACCAGCAATGTATAGGAGCATTCCTCCACAGACCAGCAATGTATAGGAGCATTCCTCCACAGACCAGCAATGTATAGGAGCATTCCTCCACAGACCAGCAATGTATAGGAGCATTCCTCCACAGACCAGCAATGTATAGGAGCATTCCTCCACAGACCAGCAATGTATAGGAGCATTCCTCCACAGACCAGCAATGTATAGGAGCATTCCTCCACAGACCAGCAATGTATAGGAGCATTCCTCCACAGACCAGCAATGTATAGGAGCATTCCTCCACAGACCAGCAATGTATGGGAGCATTCCTTCACAGACCACCAATGTATAAGAGCATTCCTCCATTGACCACCAATGTATGGGGGCATTCCTCCATTGACCAGAAATGTATAGGAGCATTCCTCCATTGACCACCAATGTATAGGAGCATTCCTCCACTGACCACCAATGTATAGGAGCATTCCTCCACTGACCACCAATGTATAGGAGCATTCCTCCATTGACCAGCAATGTATAGGAGCATTCCCCCATTGACCACCAATGTATAACAGCATTCCTCCATTGACCAGCAATGTATAGGAGCATTCCTCCACTGACCACCAATGTATAGGAGCATTCCTCCATTGACGAGCAATGTATAGGAGCATTCCTCCATTGACCAGCAATGTATAGGAGCATTCCTCCATTGACCACCAATGTATAGGGACATTCCTCCATTGACCAGCAATGTATAGGAGCATTCCTCCACTGACCACCAATGTATAGGAGCATTCCTCCATTGACGAGCAATGTATAGGAGCATTCCTCCATTGACCACCAATGTATAGGAGCATTCCTCCATTGACCACCAATGTATAGGAGCATTCCTCCATTGACCACCAATGTATAGGAGCATTCCTCCATTGACCAGCAATGTATAGGAGCATTCCTCCATTGACCACCAATGTATAAGAGCATTCCTCCATTGACCACCAATGTATAAGAGCATTCCTCCATTGACCACCAATGTATAAGAGCATTCCTCCATTGACCACCAATGTATAAGAGCATTCCTCCATTGACCACCAATGTATAAGAGCATTCCTCCATTGACCACCAATGTATAAGAGCATTCCTCCATTGACCACCAATGTATAAGAGCATTCCTCCATTGACCACCAATGTATAAGAGCATTCCTCCATTGACCACCAATGTATAAGAGCATTCCTCCATTGACCACCAATGTATAAGAGCATTCCTCCATTGACCAGCAATGTATAAGAGCATTCCTCCATTGACCACCAATGTATAAGAGCATTCCTCCATTGACCAGCAATGTATAGGAGCATTCCCCCATTGACCACCAATGTATAAGAGCATTCCCCCATTGACCAGCAATGTATAGGAGCATTCCCCCATTGACCCCATTGACCAGCAATGTACCTTCTGAGCCCTGATTGGCTAAAGCCTTGCACCTGAACACAGGTCAGGTGCAAGACTTTGCCCAATCAGGGCCCAGTACTCTGTAAGAGCCATAATTGGGCAACGTCATTATGACTTTGGCCAATCATGGATCACCTGTCAGGAGCCGTACAACTGTAAAGAGTTGGGAGGAGTTAGCTGTTGGGGTGGGGGAAGGCTGGGTGGTGGTGGGGGAGACAGGGGGAAGGGAGGGTGGTG